AGACCTCTTGCCATCGCTCGGACGTCCACTTCCAGGTGCGTGCCTGAATGTCGTGCATTTGATGTTCTGCGAGGTGGTCCAAGATGTGCTCCTGGATGGCCCTGGCCATCAACAAACGCACAGGTCCGAGCGATGCCGAGAAGACTGCAGTGGAGGCCCGACCACAAGAAACCTTCCACAAGAAACCTTCCACAAGAAACCTTCCACAAGAAATCCCAGGACGTCCATTGATTTTTGGCGCGGGAACGTCACGCTTCCCATGGCAAAACAATCGAAACCCAAGAAGCCCAAGGCACCCTGGAAGCAAGCAGGGTGTTTCTTGGCATGGACCGACACTGTAGTGCCTCCCCGAGATCCGACGCGGCGAACAGAGACTGCACCCCCGCGACAGGCTCTGAGGCCGCCGCCCTTGTTCAGCAGCACCTCGGGGGCGATGTACTCGGGCGTGCCGCACAGGGTGTAGGTCCGCGTGCCTCTCCCCCCCGCTGGCCGGCCTCCAGCAAGCCTCCTCCTTCCTCCTCGTCCTCGTCCTCCTCCTCCCCCATCCTCCTCCTCCTCCTCCTTCCCCTCCTCCTCCCCCATCCCCATCCTCCCCCTCCTCCTCCTCCTCCTCCTCCTCCTCCTCCTCCTCCTCCTCCTCCTCCTCCTCCTCCCCCTCCCCCTCGTCCCCTCCTCCTTCCCGACCCCCCGCGCGCCGCCGAAGCCGCCGCCGCTCGCTCGCTCGCTCCGCCCCGACGGTGCCCGCGCGTGGCCGCCCACCTCCTTCCCGCACCGCTCTCGAGGAGCGCCGGGAGGGGGCCGAGGGCATCATCGATGGGCACCGCCGGGCAGCGAGAACAGCGAGGGCATCGAGGGCACCAGGGGCATCGAGGGCAGCGAGGGGCAGCGAGGGCATCGAGGACACCAGGCGGTCCGAGGGATGCGAGGGATCCAGGGTCGAGGCTCCTGTGGGCGTTTGCGAGTGGGGTGTGGGGGGGGTCACCTCCTCGGGGGGCCTCTCTCCGGGGCGTGCTCTTGTCGCCACGTTCGGGCCCGGCCCCGAGGAGTATGCTCGGAGCGCGCCGAGGGACGAGAGCAATGGGTAAACCCATGTCGGGTATGTAGGAATGCAAACATGTATGCATGTATGTGTGTATGTGTGTATGCATGCATGTATGTGTATATGTGATTGTAGATGTGCATGTGTATGCATATGTGAACGGCGTATAGACATGCCTGCATGCATGCAGGTATGGTTGTGTACATGTCATTGTAAATGTATGTATGGTCATAGGCCTGTCTGTGTGTACGTGCATGCCAGTATGTGTGTACGTGCGTATATGTATATGTGTGTATGTGTAGCTGTATCTATACATCTATATATATGTATGTGTATTCACATGTGTAGTTGTATATAGATAGGTGTATGTATGTGTATGCGTAAATGTATAAAGAGATGCATATGCACACGTGTTTGATTATTCATCTTTATGTACGCATGTATAAATGTATACGTATGTGTGTTTGCAAATGTATGAACAACTGTATATGTGCATGTTTAATGGTACGCATAAGAACATGAATGCGTACACGTACACGAGTGTATGCACATATGTATGTTTACCAGTACGCACGTGTGTATGTATATGTGCATGTGTATATGTGTGATTATGTGTGTATGGATACAGGCGTGCATGCATGCATATACGTATGTATGCATGTAGGCATGTATGCATGTAAGTATGCACATGTGTATGTGTATGCATGCATGTCTGCGCGTATGCAGGTATACATGAATGCATGTCCTCATGTATGCGTGTGAGCTCGTATGCATTCAGGTATGCATGTATACATGTGTGTATGAATGCATGCATACACATGCGTATGTTCGTACACATGCATACACGAATGCATGCATGCGCGCATGCATGTATGTGTGTATGGATGTGTACATGTGTGTATGCATGTATGTGTGACTGTATGTGTGTACGTGTGTATGCATGCATGTATGTATATATATGCATGTATGTAGGTGTGTGTGCGCATGTATGTGTGTATATATGTATGCATGTGTGTATGTATGTATGTATGCGCGCGTGCATGCATGAATGCATGCATGTATGCGGGTAGATCGGTAGGTAGGTTGGTCTGTGTGGATATAAATGCATGTATGTCTGTATTTGTGTACGCACGTATGTACGCATGCATGCAGGCATGCATGAATGTATGTATGTAAGCATGCATGCATGCATGCATTTATGTGTGTATGCAAGCATGTATGTATGTACGTATGCAGGTACATGTTCGTGTGCTTATTATATGTATCTGTATACGTACGCTACCCCCCACCCCTCACAGGGACCTACCTGCTTCGTGCTGTCGTGCTGGAAGATCCCACACCAGACCCCCTGTCGTCACAGACAGCTCGAGGCGGCCGCCTTCCTGGACCAGATGGGCCCCGGCACGGATACCTCGAGGCTGCGCTGCGGCCCCGGCTGGGCCGTAGCACCACACGGAGGGCCGCAGCTGGGGTGGTGTTATGTCGGGCGTGTCCCCCTACAGGGGGATGTTCGACGAAGAATTAAAAAATACCCCAAAAATACACCAGAAAGGTCAAACAATAGTCAGAAAATAGTCCCCGGACCATTTTTGGATTGTTGTTTGATTATGTTGTGGGCATTTTTTCCTTCTCGGGCGGTGTCGTGACTTTCCTCGTCGATTCTCTGTGCGAGACTTCGGGCCGTCCAGACGACCGTTTCGGGCTTCGGGGCCGTCGACCCGGGGAGGACCCGCCGAGCCACCGGCGGCCCTCCTTGGCGCTCCTCGTCCACGCCGAGCCTCCCGGATGCTTTCTCGTCCTCGTCGCAGGAGCTGGCGGGGGGTCTGCCCCGAAGGGCCGGCTGGGCCCGTCTCGAGAAGGGGATCAAGGTGGACCAGGGGCGGGGCCCAGGGACTGGATCTGAGCGCGTCCCACGGCTTGTGAGGGTCCCCATCACTGGTATCCAGCACGCCTTTGCCAGAGGCATCCTCCAAACATTGACGTAACTTGGCCTTGTCCTGCGGTGATCCTGCTACATTGATGTCGTCGTCGTTTCGTGGCCAACAGGACGAGCCGGGCAAGGGAGTCGCCGTCACAAGATTGGACAATCGGGAAGGATTCGTTTCTTTCCTCCCCTCCTTCCCTCCCACCTGCCTTCCTCCCTCGCCTACCTGGATTGGTCTGCAACCGAACCGACTGCAGTGCAACCTTTGTTGCCTTAGTTCACCTGCGTGTGCCAAGGTACACCGCCACTTGTCACACATGTCCTTGCCACAAAAGTCCTTGTGCCTATGCGCAATCCTGGCGCGGCTCCTGCCTGCCTGCCTGGGAGCTAGAGGCCAGATGAGGTCAGATCCGCTCCAGGTCAATTCCTGGACCCCCCTCCTCCGCCTCATCCTCCTCGTCCTCCTACTCCTCCTCCGCCTCCTCCTTCTCCTCCTGCTCCTCCTCCGCCTGCCCTGCGCCTCCTCCTCCTCCTCCTCCTCGCACCTGCGGACCCCGTCCTGAGGGCCAGGACCAGTGCTGGGCCACCTCGACCCCCCGCTGCCTCGACGACGACGACGACGACGAGTTGGCGCCGACGACGACGACGAGTCGGCTCCTGCTCCTCCTCCTCCTCCTCCTGCTGCTCCTCCTCCTCCTCCTCCTCCTGCTCCTGCTCCTCTTCCTCTCCTCCTCCTCTCCTCCTCCCTCCTCCTCCTCCTGCTCCTCCTCCTCTTTCCTCCTCCTCCTCCTCCTCCGCTTCCTCCTCCTCCTCCTTCTCGATCCTCCTTGATCCTCCTTGATCCTCCTTGATCCTCCTTGATCCTCCTCCTCCTCGATCCTCCTCGATCCTCTTCGATCCTCCTCCTCCTCCACCTCCTCCTCCTCCTCCTCCCCCTCCTCCTCCTCCTGCTCCTCGATCCTGGGCGCGCCAGGAGCCGGGCGTGCGGGAGAGCGGAGCGTGGGCGGGCCGCCCTGGCCTGTGGCGAGAGAGCGCTCTCCCCGCGCGGAGGAGGGCGTTTCGGTCGAGACCGCGGCGGCTGTCGCGGAGGAGGATCGAGGAGGATCGAGGAGGATCGACGAGGATCGAGGAGGATCGAGGAGAATCAAGGAGGATCGAGGAGGATTGAGGAGGAGGAGGATGGAGGAGGAGGAGGAGGAGGAGGAGGAGGAGGAGGAGGAGGAGGAGGAGGATGGAGGAGGAGGAGGATCGAGGAGGATCGAGGAGGAGGAGGATCGAGGAGCATCGAGGGGGTGAAGATCGAGGAGGATGGAGGATCGAAGAGCATCGAGGAGTTTCGAGGAGGATGGAGGATGGAGGAGGATCGAGGAGGATCGAGGAGGAGGTTCGTGGAGGATCGAGGAGCTTCGAGGAGGGGGGTTCGCAGCGCGCCACGGCCCGAGGCACGCGCGTGGACCACAGGCGAGGCCCCAAGACCCCGCGCCGAGAAATCGTCGCCGGCAATGCCGTCGGCAGCGCACTCGCCGTCGCCGCCCGCCCTTCCTGCCGCCCGCCCGCAGCCTGCGCGCAGCTTCTTTGTCGCTTGCCGTGCGGCTGCTTCCCCCCTCCCTCCCTCCCTCCTCCTGCTCCTCCTCCTCCTCCTCCGCTTCCTCCTCCTCCTCCTCCGCTTCCTCCTCCTCTTTCTCCTCCCTCCTCCGCCTCCTCCTCCTCCTCATCCGCCTCCTCCTCCGCCTCCCGCGCCATATCACATCCCCCATCGTCCCCCTCCAGGAACGCTCCAGATTCTCCCAAACGACGGCGTCGTCGACGTCGGCACCCCTCTCGCTCCTCTCTCCCCCCCACGGCCGCCCTGCCCTTCCTTTTGTCCCGCCTCGCTGCCGACGGAAAAAGTGGCTGCCCCCCTCCTCCGCCTCCCGCGCCATCTAACATCCCCCCTCGTCGCCCTCTAGGAACGCTCCAGATCCTCCCAAACGACGGCGTCGTCGTCAGCGTCATCGTCGCCGCCTGGTTCCAGAACTTTCGCGAAGCCGAAGTCGGTCAGCTTCGAGTAACCATTGGGGGAAAGCAAGATGTTCTCTGGCTTAAGGTCCCGATGGATGATGTTCTTGCTGTGAATGTGGGCGAACGCGGCTGCCACCTGCGCTCCTGAGGCGGGGGGGGGGGGAGTGAAGAGGAGGAGGCGAAAGAGGATCGATGCTCTATAAAACGACACAAAGATCGGGACAAAATCGGATCGGGATAACTCGAAACCTCTGATAACCGGCGGGTTTGGAGGATGTATCGGGCGCCGCGGCCGCTCCAGAGCGTTCCGGAACGCTCTGAGAGCGCTCCGAACGCTCTGGAGCGATTTATCCCGATCCTAGCCCTGTTTTACTCTAGCTTTTTGGGCGTCGAAGTGGAGGAACGACGGCCGTCTCCTGATTAACCAAAAAAAGGACCTAACCCTTTGAGAGGGGGCCGGAATTAAATCCAAAACATTAGGGGTGGGGGGTCTTTTCTGCAAATGCACCGGACCAGACCGCCCAAGTGTAGTATCCCCAATGCGAAGACCAGGACCTCAGTGAGGCCACGTCTTCAGTGTTGTTAGGGTGATGGGGTTCTTTCGACACCAATGACCTCCTGCGGACCCCCCTGGAAGCATCGCTCGGCGGTGGACAAACCTCCCTTTGGCAAACCTCCCCTCAACGAAAACGGCCCGGGACCGAAACCGACGGGCCTGGACCCGCAAAAATGACGGCCGCGACGCCCTCTCGCGAACCGAAAACGGCCAATTCCTTATTCTACGTGTCTGGGTAGGAGTCGCCAGAACGAGGGGGTGACTTGCTTTCGAGTTTCGGAGCCCCGTTCTCAGTTCTCATCGGGGGGACTGCATACTACCCATTGTGGGATCACGCTCTGCGGCGTGACAGCGAGGCACTAGTGACCTGTCAGCTCTTGAGCGTAGTATACGTACTTATCACGTGCAGGTGAATATTTCACGAAGTGGTCCTCTATGCTGCCTAATTACAAAAAAAGTCTGGGTAGGAGGTCTGTCCACCCCCGAATCGCAGCGCGTCGGCATGGCTGGCCACAAGCCTCCAGCTCCTGCTGTGCGCACCGCGCGCAGGGTGCTTTCTCCAGGTGCTTCTCTCCGTGCCAACGCGGCCCTGAGCGCGTCGAGGCATGCCTACTGTTAAGGTCGGGCGTGTCCCCCTCCAGGCGGATTCTGGGCGAGGAAAAAAAGTCAACGACTACCCCAATATAGCCAACATATTGTAAGAAAAATCGTGCCCCGACTATTTTGGGCCTGTTTTTGCATAGATTCCTCCTGTAGAGGGGACAGGCCCGACTTGAGCCCCCTGAGCTGAGATGATCGTGCACGCCCGATCCAGGGCGCAAACGCAAAGCGAGAGCACCACAGCGAAGCCAACCGTGACGCAGTGCGGCCGGACACAGGACAGGAGGAACGTCCTTCAGGAGCAGGAAAGCCCCTCCGTCGGGCCAGTCGAACAGAACATCCGAGGGTGCCCTCCCCAGAACGCACAAGAACATCCAACAGACACACACAAAAAAAAGAACACTAGGATACAGTGGGGGCCGATCCATAAGAAACCTTACACAAGAAACAAAACCCTGCGAGCCCACAACGTCCATCGATGTTGGGTGTGGGAGCGTCACGCGCCCCATCGCCCAGCCCTCGGAACTCAAGAAGAAACCAGGGCACCATGGAGGCAAGAAGGGTGGTTCTTGGCATGGCCCCCACTGTGCCCTGAATCGGCCTTGATCTTATACCTCGGTACGACTGTATCTGCCACCGTCGCTGAAAAGGCGCGATACGGAAGCCATGCCAAACGCCAGAGTTGTGCTTATTTCTCTGCCAGGGCTATGTCACCGCAGTCGCGATAAACATGCCCCGGCAACGACCACATTGACTGCACCCTGCGTTGAGGATGGAAAGCCGGACTGCGTGGAGAACGGCGAACGGAGCGCCAAGTCGACAAACATCACTCATGCCATTCAAAGCGAAGAAAACGAGACACTATACCCAACCCCCGTGGAGGCCCTCCTGGCAGCCGCTTGACGCGAAACGTAACGTGAATGGTAGATCCGGTAATAGTTGTTCGTCCTTAGACAAGCCAGCAAACGCTGCTATTCCCCATCACGCAGCGGTCCATGAGGCGCAGCTGCGTCGGCTCCGCACTCGCCATCTCGCCCTCCTTCCCCAAACAGTGCTTCCAGGGTCACAGTTGACTCACGGACTGGGAGGTTCGGGTTCGGGCTTGGGTTTGGGTTTGGGTTTGGGCTTGGATTCGGGTTTGGCTTCGATGGGAAGCCTTCTGGATTGCAATTCCATAGGAGCTTCCACAGCAAGACCTCCCAGGAATCCAAGAGCCATTCCAAAAGAATGGGGCTCTTACGCCTGTGCCGTGCGGTACCTGCATGAGGGTCTTCGCCGGGTGGCTGGCCATCGCTCGGACGTCCATTCCCTGTGTTTTTTGTTGGTTTCGTGCGTGGCTTTCCCGCCAAATGATCAAGGATGCTCCTCGATGGTCCTCGCCGAAAGAAAAATGCACACGTCCGAGCGATGCCAGGGGTGCTCGCCACCTGGTCGCCCGTGCTGCCTCGGGGGCGCCTCCTGGGCGCCCCGTGCGCCAGGGGCGTGCCCCGAAGACGCGCCGACCCGCGGCCCGCGCCACCCGCGGCCCGCGCCGCCCCGCGGGCGCCCCGTGGGCGCCCACGAGGCGCCAGAAAGGGGGCGCCCCGAGGACCCGCAGCAGTGCCGCCCCGTGGCCGCCTCGTGGCCGCCTCGTGGGCGCCTCGCGGGCGCCGAGCTTGCAGCACGTACCCTGGCCATCGCTCGGACGTCCATTCCCTGTGTGTTCTTTGTTTGGTTTCGGGCGCGGTTTTTTTCGCCAGATGATCAAGGATGCTCCTCGATGGTCCCCGCCGGAAGAAAAATGCACACGTCCGAGCGATGCCAAGGTACCTCACACCCCTGGCTCACCCTGCACGACATCGCTTACACCACATGGCCTGAACGCGTCATGGCTCGCGCGTCGTGGCTCACCTCGCACAGCTTCCACCCCCTAGCGTCCACCTCCTGCCTCCGGAAGCACCCGGTGCGCGCAAGGACGGAGGAGAGTTGGTCTGGCGGGCGCATCTCGTTGATCCCCAGACAGGGACTCAAAGGACAAGAGGAGGCAAGAGATGGAATGCAGGAATGTGAGAAGCACAAGCAGGACAGGGAGGAGGAACAGTTGATCACTAGGAAGCCGAGCGGGGGGGGGAGGTCGCCCCCCCCCCTCAAGGGAGGGCAAGGGGGGGCCCTGGCGGCGGCCCCCCGGAACGGCTGCGTCTCCGTAGAACTTGGCCTGCTCGTCGGTGAACTTGCGCGCCCGGCGCCTGAGGAGGGGGAGGGGGAGGAGGACGGGCGTCACGACTGGATCTGGGCCACGGTTGCCCAGTCTGACATGCCTATCGTCCTCCTCCAGCTCCTCCAGACCCTGCTGCCCCTCCTCATCGACTCAATCCTCCTCCGCATCTCCCTTCTTCAAGTATCCGCCATCGTGCCGCTGGAAACGGCGTGGGCGTGTCCTCAAACCCTTAGCCTCACCCCCCAAGCCTCAGTCCCCACTCCCGAGCAGTCACTTAGCGACCCGGACTCCAGACTTCCAAAACTTCTTGGTCTCCCCGCGGTTTCCCTGCTCCCCCGCATGACTTGTCCAGGCTCAAGAGGGCCCCAAGACGGGTCAACAGGACCCCAAGAGGCCCCCAAGTCGGTCCAAGAGGGCCCAGGACGCTCAGAGATCGCACCAAGACGCCACAGATGTTCCCAAGACGGCCTCAGAAGCTTCCGAGACGCCCCAAGAGAGCCCCAAGAACCTTCCCAAAAGGGTCCCACCAGGCAAAAATCTTTCATCTTCTCCAGGGAACCTCGACTTTTCGAGCTCCCGACGCTCCAAGACGACCCAAGTGCCTCCAAGACCGCCACACGACTGCCCCAGAGGCCCCCAGGAGGGCCCCAACACGGCCCGAGAGGATTCGTCCCAGAGGCGCCCAAGACGGCCCAAGAGGCCCCCAAAAAAGCCCCAAGGAATGCCCAAGAAGGGGAACACGAACCGACAATCCGAGTCGTCCGCCCCAAAGGGCCCCCAGGAGGCCCCAAGGAGGCCCTAAGAGGCCCCAAAGAGGTCTCAAGAGACTCCCAAGAGGCCCTGAAGACGCCCCAAGAGGCTCCAAAACGGCCCCCAAGAGGCCCCAAACCGACCCCCAAGAGGCCCCCGAGAGGGGCTCCCACGACATCCCACCCAACAGGAGGAGCCTATGACCCACAACCCAGGCACGGTATCGGGATAAGCCAAAGGCCATTCGATTATTTCTCCTTCACCGCTGCCTCATCACCCTCCTCCATCTCCACCTCTTCGTCCTCTTCCTCTTCCTACCTTACCGGCCTGGGTCTGAAACATGACGCCTGTCTCCCTTTCCTCACCCGCAATGAGCCTTCCGTCCTCCACCCTCCCTCAATGAACCTGTATCGGACGCGGGTGGGTGTGGGCGGGCGGTGGCCGGGTTGTCCCGCCGCGGTGTCCCGTCGCTGTTCGCCCCTCCCCCGCGGCGGAAGGGCGGCGGCCGGGATGTCCCGCCGTTGGTGTCCCGTCGGTGTCCCGTCGGGATACCGTAGCTGTCCCGTCGCTGTCCCGTCGGTGTCCCGTCGGTGTACTTTCGGTATCCAGTCGTTGTACCGTCGGTGTCCCGTCGGTGTCCCGTTGGTGTCCCGTTGGTGTCCCGTCGATGTCCCGTCGATGTCATGTCGGTGTCTCGTCGGTGTCCCGTCGCTAGTGCGAGCGATAGTGAGGCCGATCATGAGACCGATGGTGAGATCGATAATGAGATCGAACATCAAATCGATTGACGCCCCGATGGTGTCCCAATTGTGTCCCGGGGGGGTCCCGTCGGTGTTCCGCGGGTTTCCCGTCGGTGTCCCGTGCGTGTCCTGCGGTGTCCCGTTGTGAGATTCATAGTGATATCGATAGTGGGATCGATAGTGGGATCGATAGTGAATGTCAGTGAGAGCAATCGTGGGATCGACAATGAGATCGATCGAGGAAAATCGATCGAGAGAGGTCGAGCGAGTGAGGTCGATAGGGAGTTCGAGAGCAAGATCGATTGATGTCCCGATGGTGTGCCGATGGTTTGGGGTGTCCCGCGGGTGTCCCGTCGGTGCCCCTTCGGAATCCCGTTGGAGTCCCGTCGGTGTCCCGTGGTGTCCCGTGGTAAGGTCGATAGCGCGAGATTGATGGTGAGATCGGTCGTGAGATCGATAGTGGGATCACTAGCGAGATCTAGCGTGAGATCAAAAGTGAGACCAATCGAGTGAGAGCAATGGTGGGATCGAGCGATTAAGATCGATAGCGAGATCGATAACGAGATCGATACTGCGATCAATAGCGAGATCGATGGTGGCCTGGTGGTGTCATGATGGGTGCCCTGATTGGTGTCCCGATTGGTGTCCTAATGGTGTCCCTGTGCTGTTTCGATGGTGTCTCGATGGTGTCCTGGTGGTGTCCCGACAGGTGCCCCGAGTGGTGTTCCCATGGTGTCCCGATTGGTGTCCCGATGGGTGTCCTGATGGTGTCCTGGTGGTGCTTCGATGGTGGTGTCTCGGTGGTGCCCTGGTGGTGTCCATAGTGAGACTTGGCGGGGACGCGCAATGAACCCGATACGCCAAACGGCTTTCAATGTCAGCATCACTGGCCATGGGATCGACTGTGAATTTGAACCAATGCGTTCCCGTCGGTGTCCCGTCGGTCCCGAGTGGTGTCCCGAGTGGTGTCCCGATTGGTGTCCCGATTGGTGTCCTGTTGGTGTCCCATAGACACACTCATGCGGCCAGGCGGTTTCAGTTGTGGCCGCGAACGTCCCGAGGCAAAACGAATGACACCGCGAGCGCGGGGATGACGACCTCCGAATTCGAAGCTTCGGGCGAATTCGATAGTGAGATTGGTAGTCAGATCGACAGTGAGTTCGATAGCCGCACCGATAGTGACTGCGATGGAATGGTATCAACAGAGAGATTGATCGCTAGTGAGATCGACTGTATGACCGATAGTGTGGTCGATAATGGCATGCGCCAAATGTCCCGTCGGTGTCCCGTCGGCGTCCACACGTCTTCCTGCTTATGTCCCGTCGGCCACCACCTTGCCATCAGCAGCCAGCCATCGCACTTAGCAACAACCATCATATCACAGAAGTGGTGGCATTGATTTGGCCTCATAGTGCCCTGGTGGTGTTTCGACGGTGAGGTCGATCGGGTGGGATCGATAGTGAGACCACCCGAAGGTGGTTGTGAGATAGACAGGGAGATCGACAGTGAGAACGATATTGGCATTACATCGCAACGCAACGTCGTCATCACGCGTCGTCGCTAAGTCGAGGGCGCGTCAACAGCATAGACATCATCACACGCATCGCATTTGCCAACAGGTGGTTCTTTCCCCCCCACCACCCCAGAACCTCCTCATCTCCCGAAGGTTGGCCGTATAGGAAGATATGTCCCCTCTTCTCACATCATCTCCTGTCAAGAAATAATTCGCGCTGAAGAGAAATGCGAAGGGTGAATCCTCGAGCCAACGTAGCTACAATCCACAAACGTCTTCTTCGGCTAACGAAGCATACGTAATCCTGGGAAGGCACTCGGAGGTAGAAAGAGAGTGCCCTCGTGGGACGTGCCGACGCCGGACGCTGGGCCCGACACAGGTGGGTGAAGAGCTCGCCGCCCGTGATGCACTCCATGATGATGTAGACGTACGAGTCATCCTCCGGACTGGTAATGCTCGTATCCCCCCCGTGCGCACGAGCAGATAAGATGATGAAATGACGATGCTGATGATGCTGATGATGATTATCATCACCATCATGATCGTCATCATCATCATCATCATCATCATCATCATCATCATCATCATCATCATCATCGTCATCATCATCACTATTATCATTATCAGAACCATCATTATCACCAACATAATCACCACCACCTTCATCGGCATCACCATCCTCATCATCACCATCGTCATCGTCATCGCCATTGGCATCATCATCATCACCATCATTATCATCATCAGCACCACCATCATCGTCAACATCATCGTCGTCATCGCCATCGTCATCATCATCGTCATTATCATCATCAGCAGCACCACCATCATCGTCATCATCATCGTCGTCATCGTCATCGTCATCGTCATCGTCATCGTCATTATCATCATCATCATAATCAGCAGCAGCACCATCATCGTCATCATCATCGTCGTCATCGCCATCGTCCTCGTCATCGTCAGTATCAGAATGAGCATCATCATCAGCATCAGCATCAGCATCAGCATCATCGTCATCATCATCATGATCATCATCATCATCAGTTTCAGTATCATCAGCATGAGCATAATCATCATCATCAACATCATCATCAACATCATCATCATCATCAATATCACCATCATCAGAATCATCATCATCATCATCATTAGCATCATCATCAGCATGAGCATCAGCATCAGCATCAGCATCATCATCATCATCATCATCATCAGCAGCAGCAGCAGCAGCAGCATCAGCATCATCGGGGCACTAGCGCCCGCCATCCGACGGATGTTTGGTCCGCCCCACAAGCCTCAGCAGGCCTCGACACCTCGCCGGGGGGCAACCTGCCGCCGCAGATCCAGCCACGGCGGCGCATGTTTTTGGCGCCCCCGGACGGTGCGGTGACAGACCGTGCGGTGACGCGGCACGGTTCGTCGCCGCAAGGTGCTGGGACCCTGGAGGCCCTAATCGCCAGAGACCTCCTCAGGGAACGGCCCAATCTCGGGAGCGGCCAAGAGGGGGGTGTCCAAGAGGGGGGGGTGCAAATCATGACCGGCGGCATGTGCGCGGCCCAGCGGGGGGGCCAGAGACGTGACGAAATAAGAAGAGGCGCCATGAAATCTGGGGAAATGTCATGGCCCACGCCATGATATCCACCCCCCCCCATAGTCATCACCCCCCTCTTTTCCGCCCCCGACAATCCCAAATCCGCGCGGGTCACCCCCAGAACCCCGCTGACTCACCACACCTCACGCTCAGCGCACCGCTTGAGGGCCCCCGCGGACGGTCAAACTCTTGCAGTCGCCTTCGACGTGCCCCATCGGCTGGGTCCGTGGCGTCCAGACTCTCCCTGCTCCACCTCTCCCTCCCCTCCTCGTCATCCCTCTCATCCCTCCCGTCTCCCGCTCCTCGGCACTTCTTCCTCCTTCCCTCCCACCCGCCAACCACGTTTCTCCCAAGCTACCCTCTCCTCATCTCCACTTTTGGCTCGCACCCTTCGTCCTGAGCCCCCCTCAGAGACTCTCGGCGTCGGCACTCTTCACCGTGAGGGGGGAACCACAGCGTGGGGTCAATACGACACTGGAGCCCTGGATGCAAACCCCAGCGAGAAGACATGAAATAGAAAGTGATCCTGGAGGCGGGAGAGATGGAGGTAGGATTGAGACAAGGAGGGAGGTGGGAATGATGGGGAGGACGGGGCGCAGAACCCTGCGCGGCCTTGGTGTATCCGGTCATGTTCACGATAAAAGGATAATCGATCTGGGCCATGAGCCTCTTTTCATTGTTGATGTGGTCAACCTGCTTCAGCTTGATGATCTCGTGCTTCTTCATGAACTCGCAGCGGCTAAATTTCTCTGCGCCCGCGTCGCCTGCTCGACAGCGGGGGACATCGATACAGTCATCCGAGCCCGCGGCCGAAATGACGAGATGACGAATCCGTGTTACTATCTCCTAGGACGATACTGCTGCCACAGCTTCTCGGAAGATCACCACATGCATGATTCCTTCATGATCCTCCAATTCCTCCTCCCAAGCTTAACCTCCTCTGGACCCATGACCCCTCCTCCTCCTGCTGTTTCCCTTGCCTCATCCTCATCGTCCGAATCCTCTTATCCTCTGTATCATCATTCTGCTGCCCTCCTCTCCTCCTCATCCACCTCCTTCTGAACCTCGTGAAAAGGAAGAAAGCCGGTACGCAACGCGGAGTTCGTTCGACAACGTCCGGTGGCCATCGCGTCTAGTCAGTGCCAGCGTTTTAAAGGTGAGGGCACGGCTTCGTGCGAGGATGAAGGAGGAGTGATGGGGGGGCGAAGGCTGAAATAGGGAAGAGGGATGAAAGGTAGAGGGATGGCGGGGCATGGATGGGGGAGAAAAGGAGGCCGCGAAGACGGGTGGAGAGGCGCAGGGAGTGGACAACGAGCCACCTTCACTGCGTACATTTTGCCATCCAGCTTGTACTTCGCGAACTTCACTCGCCCGAATGAGCCTGAGACCGTGGCAAGGTAACACCAAAAGAAACCCGGAGCATGCAATCACGCAAACGGTTACGCATGTACGCGTGCGTACTGTTGAAGGGATTGTCACATCATGGATCTGCGAAAGGCCTGTGTACACACAAGGATGCCACCGCAAGTGCCGACGCCTCCGCACACGCCTGCGCACACACCCACAACAAAGGCAACACACCATGCGCAGAAAACACGTTACACATGAGACAACCACATACAGTACACAAACCATACACAACATACATACAGACAACCCCTGCTACGCACACGCACCCACACACATGTTCCTCCATCGGTGAGGTGGCGGAGCCGCGGCGAGTACTGAGACGTGGTGCGCTGATTCCAAGTCCAAAATTGCGATGCGACAGGGGGGGTCAGAATGGAAGCAGACGCATGCAGAGAAACGCGAGAACACGATGGCACGTGGAACACACCAAGAGGCCATGCAAGTGTCGGAGTTCGAGGAACAAAACCGACACCGAATGCAAAAGGCAATCGGGGCGTGCACGAACATTATATCCCGCAGCCCAGCTGTAATGGTGCGACGCGAGAACAGCCCGTGCGAACGAGGGGCACGACTTGAAAAAATCAGGCCCTGCCTGCACGGTGATGCAGAGGTGCGTGAGAGGCGTGCACAAAGATCTTCCGCGGCCCTGCTGTAAGGGCGTGACGCGGGACACGACGACCACGACGGAGACGGGCTTTGGAGAGCAGCCACCACCACGAGGACGCGCCCGAGCTGTTCGGAGGCTGTGCTCCGCACCGGCGTGGCGCGCGGCACGCGCCCCCGCCGAGTCCAAACCCGAGGGGGAGTCTCTGGAGGCAAGAGGACAGAAGCACGGAAGGGCGTCGGCGGGCCGATGCGACAGGAAGAAGGCCCGCCTGCACCGAGGGACTCCGAAGGACCTTTGGTCCCCAGACGGGTGGGCGTGGGCATACACACAAACACACCGACACGCTTTTTGGTAAGCGCGGCCTCGCGCGCAGCAACGATGCGGAGACAGTAGGTCAGAGCGAGCTAGCAGCGCGTGCGGACACACACACACACACACACACACACACACACACGCGCACGCACTCGTTGGCGTCGCGGCTACGCGTGCAGCGGCGCAGCGGAGTCCAGGTCGGGCAGAGGGCGGCGCGCAAGGGCTGGGCCAACACACGGGGCCAGCACACGCAGCAGGGAAATGCCAGGTCCACCCACGGAGGACCGCGAAGCTTCACTCGCGCGGGGGCTCACACACTCAACACAGAACGCACACATTCACACACACACACTCACACACGCACGCACACACACAGACACACACTGGACTCACCCACTCACACACAGTCACACACACACACTCGCACGCACTCACACCACATGCAACTCACAACGCACCGCGCAAAACCAGGCGGCACAACACAAACGCACAACACGCGTCATACTGTACACACAGACGTGTGACATCATGGGCACAGGCGGTACAACCACGCTCAACACGCAAACATCGCTAAGTAGATACGCTGGGGACAGGCGTGGAAAGGCGCCCTGATACCCGTGGGCAGGAATGAGTTGGAGGCCACCAAGGGCACGCCCCGATGTAGCTCCGAGGCGTGCGAAGGGGGGAGGGTGATCAGGAGGGGGAGGAGGGAGGAGAAGGAGGAGAAGGAGGACGAGGAGAGGAAGGGAGGGAGGGAGGGAGGGAGAGAGGGAGGGAGGGAGGGAGGGAGGGGGCGAGAATGGGGATGTGGAGCGGAGGAGCAGCAGCAGCAGCAACAACAGGATACGTAGGGGATGGCAAAAGAAGCCACGGAGGAGACATGCGGGGGGGGGCAGGGAGGGCGGGAGACAGGGAGGATAGGATAGGATAGGACCGACCGCGAAGCGAGATGACCTGATCCGACCACCACCCGAGGGAGCTGTGGAGGGAGGGGCCCGGGGCCAGCAGAGGGGTACGACGCAGCTTCCTCGTCATTCTCTCCCTCGTCGTCCCCCTCCCTCCACTCCCAGTCGAATCGGAGCCGCACGCTGAACAGGAAACCCTCGAATCACAGACGGGACAACAAGGTCATCACAGGTGATTCCCTGTCCTTCGTGACTAGATGAAGTTCAGACAGGAGCTAGACGGGCAGCAGGACGGCAGCACTAGCCACTAGTCAGGGTTACACCCTCCGCCCTCCCTCCGTCCTCCCTCCATCTCCTCACCTTCTCCCTCTGGGCATCGCTCGGACGTCCATTCCCTGTTGTTTTTTCTGTTTCGTGCGTGTTTTTTCGCCAAGTGATCAAGGATGCTCCTCGATGGTCCTCGCCGAAAGAAAAATGCACACGTCCGAGCGATGCCAAGCCCTCTGGGGTATGGTTTAGCGGAGCCTGGTCGGCATCGGCAGCGCCCCTGGCGGAGCTGTGGAGGTAGCTGCTAGACGACTGGCGTGGCCGTGCCTGAGATTGCCACCCGAAGCGAACGCACAAAAACCTGTCCCAGCTTCTCCTCCTCCTCCTCCTTCTGCCCCTCCTCCTCCTCATCCTTCTGCCCCTCCTCCTCCTCCTTCTCCTCCTCCTCCTCTTCATCATCATCATCATCATCATCAGCAGCACCGTCATCATCATCAGCATCATTATATTCATCCTCCGCATCCTCCTCCTCCTCATCATCATCAGCAACATATCATTATCATCAGCATCTCCCTCATCCTCATCCACATCACCATCATCATCATCATCATCATCATGATCAGCATCATCATCATCATCATCATCATCATCATCATCATCATCATCATCATCATCATCATCCTCATCCGCATCCTCATCATCATCATCATCATCGTCATCATCATCATCGTCGTCAGCACCATCATAATCATCATCAACGTCATCAGCATACGCATCATCATTATACTCAACATCATCATCAGCAGCACCATCATCCTCAACATGATCATCATCCTCGTCCTCAACATAATCATTTCCTCATGCATATCACCATCATCAGCATCATCATCATATGATCATAATCTTCAGTATCAACATCATCTTGCTCATCATCCGTATCAGCATCGTCAGCATCATCACCATCACCAGCATCGTCCTCATCATCATCACCATCAGCATCACCATCGTCATGAGCTGCATCCTCCTGACCATCATGAACCATCATCAGCATCGGCGTCATCATCATTATACTCATCCAGCGCCAGCATCAACATCAGCAGCATCATCATCAGCATCATCGTGATCATCATCATCATCCACATCATCATCATCAGCATCATCATCATCACACCCAACATCAGCATCGCCAGCATCACCATCATGATCAAACTCACCATCAGCAGCATCATCGTCATTGTCTGCATCACCAGCATCACCAAAACCACCATCATCAGCAGCATAATAATTGTCATCATCATCATCATCATCGTCATCGTCCTCATCCTCATCGTCATCCTCATCACCACCATGATCATCATAAGTATCGTCAGCACCATCATCATCATCATCAGCAGCAGCATATGCAGCATAATAATAGTCAGCATCATCATCATCATCATCATCATCATCAGCATCATCATCATCATCATCATATTTATCATCACCATCATTGTCATCATAACAAGTATCACCATCACCAGTATCATCATCGTCTTCGTCATCATCATCACCATCACCAGCATCATCGTGAGCATCATCATCACCACCATCATCATCATATTCATCCTCATCCCGATCATCATTATACTCATCATCATCAGCGCTAGCATCAACATCAGCAGCAGCATCCTCATAGGCACCATCATCAGCATCATCATCAACATCGGCATCACCATCATCATCAACATCATCATCATCATCATCATCATCATCATCATCATCATGATCATCATCATCACCATCATGATCATAATCACCATCAGCAGCATCATCGTCATTGGCAGCATCACTATCATCATCACAACCACCATCATCATCATTAGCATCAGCATCAGCATCAGCATCTGCGTCATCATCATCATCATCATCATAACCATCATCATGATCATCATCATCATCATCATCATCATCATCATCATCAGCAGCAGCAGCATCATCATCCCCTCCTTCTTCGTCCTCTCTCCCCCTCCCTCCTCTAACCCCCTCCCTTCCCCCCATCCCTCTCTGTCTATCCCCCTCCCTGGCTCCCCCTCCCCGGCGGGGCAGCGGCCACCCGGTGTGCCCGAGGGGCGGGCCGCATCCCAGCGTTCGCGTCATCTCAAAGTCTGCTAAATTCACCTTGGTGGCCGTAGGGAGGAGGCACTTGAAGAAATGACAAAGCAAATAGTAGGAAGAATCTTCTGGGGGGTCATCGCACGAAACATCGAAGGCTCTTGAGCCCGACTGACGGGCCACTACTCCGACCTAGCTCAAATTAAGCCTAATATGGCGTCGGAATGGGTCGGGTCAAACGGACGCGAAATTTGATTGTGCCAGTGCTGGACTGGGTCGGTGCTCGACCACAGATGTGCCAGTGCCGATGCTGAGTCTAACCTCCCAGGAATTGCATCCTCACAAGAAGAGCCCGTCTTATTATTCGCGATTGCGCCTGCGACAAGCCCACTCCCACCCCACGCGGCCCGCGCCCGTGTGGGACACCCATGAGGTCACAACACGATCTGCGCCCGCGCCGTGTAGGAATCAGCCGTCCCTGAACCTTCCCGGTCTGCGCTGGCGCGAATTGTGACGTGGCCGGCCCCCTCCACCCTAGGGGAAGGAAGAGTGGCATAAACTGGAAAACACGGTGGTCCGAGCGGATTTCTCAGAGCGGCGCTGGAAACCCCTCCCCCTGGCGCGCGGAGCGCGCCAGGGGCGGTGCCGGAGGCGCCGCCGAGGGGGTCCAGCGCGGATCCGACGGATCCGCGCGGACCTCGGAGTTTTTTATGCTTATGCCCTTCGTCGCTCCCCATGCGCCCTCCTCCCCGCCCCCCCCACGTCGCGCCCGTGATCGCCAAGGGACCAAACTGGCCATCGCTCGGACGTCCATTCCCTGTTTTTTTGTTCGGTTTCGTGCGTGGTGTCTTCGCCAAATGATCAGGGGTGCTCCTCGATGGTCCTCGCCGAAGGAAACATGCACACGTCCGAGCGATGCCCAGCAAAACACGGCCTCCAGGTCCATCGCACAGCGAGGCAGGCCGCACCCCATCGCGCCCTGGCCTTCCTCTGCGCGCCGCAGCGCGCCACCCTGGGGGGGGCGCGACGGCACCCGGGGCGGCCTGTCCTGGACCGCCTGCCAGACCAGCCCAACAACCCAACCCGAAGACCCGCATTTCGGGTGGTGGAGTGGGGGGTACAGTCGGGAGCTTGACCTAAGGAACCCAAAATAAGGAACGAGGCCCCTTTTTTCCATGAGTTAAACTTCGATTTCCGATCGAAAACATAAGGAAAAGCTGAGGCAAGCTGCGACACACTTAATGAACGCGGAGCGCCTCCCCAACGAAAAGGGTTCCTTCTTCAGGGCCCCGACTGCACGGGCTCCACATGTGATTCTTCAGAGCACCCCGACCCCCCACCCCCCCGCTGGGAATGCAGGGCACATCGGGCCTTCGGGTTGGGTGGGGGTGGTTTGGTGGGCGGCGATTTCCCGCGACCGCAACTCGCCGAGTGACCCGCGACAAATCCGAGCCAAGACAACCTGGCCGCAGAGAGCGACGGAGCTCCGCAGGGGCCATGCTGTCCAGCGACCCTCCCTGCGCCAACTTTTCCCGCCCAGCAACCCCGAGGCAGAGAGATCCGGGAGGAACGCGGGAGGGCCCGCGGGGGCCAGCCGGGGGGGGGGGCCGCCCTCGAGGTGCTCCAGAGCCCCGGCGCCAGGGTGGAGGCCACGCGGGCCTAGCGCCCCCATGGCCGGCACAACGAAGCAGGGCGCGCCCCTTGCGCCGAACCGCGGGGTGCCGTGGAGGAGAGGTCTCGGCGATCGATGCAGCACAACGGCGGCAGATGGCGAAGGAGCCGTCCCGGGCCCTCCGCCACCATCCACTCGTCCCCATCGCCGCCCTCGCAGCGCGCATCCCCTCCCCCCGCACCCTCCTCCAGAGAGAGGCGCTGAAGAGCTCTGGGCGGGTCGCGGCAGCGGGGGAAGGCTCCACCCAGGGGCAGGGAGAGGGTCTGGCAGGTCAGGGGAAGAGTGCGGGGGAAGAGGGACACTGGTTTGCGGCGAGCGGGGTCCAACAAGCGGTCGGGCTGACGGCGGGGCGCGTCCGTAGCTAATTACGGCGAAGGCAAAGCAGGGGTAAGAAGGGAGCAGGAATCGGCCGCGGGAAGGCCAGAGAGCTCTCAGACCATGTAGATCTTCAAGCGGCGCTGGAGGTCAGGCTCATGATTTCGACGACGGAGCAGTAAAAGAGTGAAAGACATGCCAGAAGACAAAGAGAAACAAAAGGGAACAGGACGAGGGGGGGAGGCGGAGGTGGCGGAGAACAGAGAAAAGGATGGACGGAGAGGAAGGGAGCAGATAGGAGGTGCAATTCAAAGAGAAGGGAACGAGGCAGAACGAAGCGATGGAGGCAGGGATGATCGTGTGAGGGAAAGGGGGAAAACGGAGAAGGAGTCAAGTGGAAGGGTGAATGAGAGATAGAGGGGATACTGATGATGGAGGGACGGAGGGAAGGGAAACTTGGAAGTAAACGCAATATGCAAGCACACCAGGCGGGAGGGAAGGGGGGAATGTGTAACCAGCCTCGAGCTAATCCGTATCCCTAAAGTTGTGGCAAAGGCGACGACAACCTTAGGGATGTGCCCGTAGAAACTGGGCACAGCATAGCGATATGGGGACAAGGTGGTTGAGATCATGTAAAATTAGGGGGTGCCAAAGAGTAGGATATACTTCAGGCGGTTCGTGAAAGATATGAGGGATGAAGCGCAAAAGAAATAACTCACTCGTTGATGCCCCGCTGAGCTTCAGCGTCAGCCTTCTCCACGATCCATACTGGCAAGCCACGCGAGGCAGACGGGAGATTTACCCCAGTACGTAGCGCACGACACCCCTCCTGAACACCTCCTACTCCTCCTCCTTCTCCTCCTTTTCCTCCTCAGCCAACCCCCTCCTCGTGCACGACCTCGTCCTCTTCCCCCCCCTCCCGACGAGACCCCCCTCTCCCTCCACCTCCTACTGGGAGTGGGGGCGCATTGACCAACACAGGAGCAAGAGAGGTCGAGCTAGGTGGGCGCACCTGCTTCGCCATGATAGCAGCACGATGACCAGTCAAAGCCGGCCGCCCTGCCGCAAAGGCCTTGCTTGCAAACTGGACGCTGCGCTGGAGCCGAGGCAGCTGCGGAACGAAACCAACAACTACTACGAAACGATAGTGCGATGTGCAGCTGGACACTTGGAAATAGCGATGCGCTCCAATGTCCTGCCGATTCACCTCGTGGGTGAGAGCCCAAGTCAGCCCAACGATCGAATGATCTGTCCACGCTCCACTTACTACGCCTGACCCGTTGCTTCCACCTCAACAATATAATTGTCCTTCTGATCATCCCGGTCGTCGTTGTTTCGTCCTCCTCTACCCCCTCTCCTCCCCATCCTCCACCCTCCACCCTCCCTCATCCCCCTGTCCCTCCCACGGGTCTCCTCCACCTCCTCCGCCTCCTCGTGGTCGCCGTCGTCGTCGTCGAGGCCGTCGTCGTCGTCCCTCTTCTCACTTTCCTCCTTCAGCGAGTGCCACCCCTGGACTTGGAAGAATGGGAGGTAATCATCCTCTCTATCCCGAGTCTTCCTCCTGTTGAAACCAGCCCGAGGGTTCCGATTCGGGCAGAGATGGCTGGCGCAAGCGAGACACGACATCACACACACACACACACATGCCACTTCCAACATCGCATGCCCGAGCTAGTCATGAATCTGACCCTGGAGTCACGCCCTGGCAAGCTCTTCCCTCATCCCTCCTCCTCCTCCTCCTCCTCCTCCTGGTCCTCCTCCTCCTCCTCCTCCTCCTCCTCCTCCTCCTGATTCCTGATGGCGTTAAAGTCTCTCCTCCTCCTCATCCTCCACATTATCCTCCTCCTCTTCCTCACACTCGCCCTGCTCTTCCTCCTCCTCCTCCTCCTCCTCCTCCTCCCCCTCCTCCTCCTCATCATCCCCCTCCCCGTCCTCTTCCTCCTCCTCCTCCTCCTCATCCCCTCCTCCTCCTCCTCCCTCCTCCTCCTCCTCATGTCCCTCCTCCTCCTCCTCCCCCTAACCCTAACCCTCACCCTCACCCTCGCCCTGCTCTTCCTCCTCCTCCTCCTCCTCCTCCTCCTCCTCTTGCTCCTCCTGCTACTCCTCCTCCTGCTCCTGCTCCTCCTCCTCCTGCTCCTCCTCCTCCTCCTCCTCCTCAAACTCCTCCCCGTCCTCACCCTCCCCCTTCGCTGGTTCCACTCCCAACCGCGGATCTGGAAACGTGTGCACGGAGACGCTGGTGATCAGAGTCTTCAGCTGCAGTGCTGGGATCGGCGCAGGCGCGCGAGCGCACATAGTCAGCCGAAGAGCTGGATTCAGCTCGTGCGACAAGGACAGCAGTGAGCAGAAAAGATCAGCTACAACACTGACTCCAAGCAAGCAGCGGGCGACATTTCAATTCGGTTACAACGCTGGGGGGTACTCATGAGAGAATGGCGGCAGTGGGCGAATGATCGTATCGACATCGCTGGGGGCAGTTCATGCGGAACGGAGCTGTGGGCGGAAACTCGATATCCTGACAGGCCATGAACGACATAGCAGCTACAACGCTGACAGTAGCCCAGGCGAGACGGCATACAGTGAGCGGTGCATCAGCTACAACGCTGGACAAATCTCAAGCGAGAAGGGCGGCAGTGAGCGAAAGTACGACCACAACACTAGTGTTAGTTCGTGCAAGAGGGATGGGAGTGGGAGTGGGCGACATATCAGCTACCACGCTGGGAGTAGGTAGTGAATGCAGGTGGGCGGCATATCACCTACAGCGCTGGGAGCTGGTCCTGCGAGAAGGCGAATGGGCGACATATCAGCTATAACGCTGGAAATAGTTCGTTCGACAAAGGCGGCAACGAGCGAAACATCAGCTACACCGCTGGCCCTAGTTCATTTGAGCAGGGCGGCACCGAGCGACACAACAGCTACAATGCTGGGGGTAGTTCTTGCGAGAAGGAATGCAGTGGCAATGCACGCGGTCATTGCGAAGAGTGGGCGAACGGGCTGCGGGTGAAGCCGAGCCAGGCCCGTCACATGATCCCTGCCGCATGGCGGGGACCAGGGTATAGGTGGGCGAAGCAGAGCCACGCCCGCCCTATGACCCAACCACGAACGGGACCAGGGTGGAAGAGGGTGCGCGAAGCTGGAGCCAATACTAGCTACAGGCGGGCCCTATGCGAAAGGCTAGACAGTTCGGGAACCGCACCATGTCGCCGAAAGATCGGATTTGGGTATGGTGAACGCCTTTTGTTCCGCCAGCTCCATGTCACCGCGCAATGTGGAGTTGATCAAGCAGGCAGAATCAAACAGAATCCTCCTCCTCCTCCTCCCTCTCTACGCCCCCTCCGCTTCCCTCTCCTCCTTGTCCTCTCTGCCTCCTTCTCGTCCTCTTCCTCTTCCCGTCTTGTTCCGAGACGCTTGCCGCTAAAAGTTATGTTGCCAGTACAACTGATATGACTGCTGATGCAGCTCCCCATCAGCCATCCTGTAGAAAGGGATGAGTGTACCTGAAAGCATATCTGCATGTGCCCACTCCCTGGGGGACAGAGCCTGCAGTAGGAGCCGGGATGCCCCCCAGAGACGCGCGCGCATTGAGGGCAACGCGCAGTGAGGTTTGGGGTAGGGGGATGCGGGCGCCGCCACCGACATGGCCTGCAACATCTTGACACATCCTCCCGCGGCTCCTCCTCGAATTCCTCCCTCTCCTTCTCGTGCTGCTGCGGTTGATGCTGCCGCCGCCGCTGCTGCTCACGTCGCCGCTGCTCGTCGTCCCGGCTCCCGCTCTCGACCTCGCCCCTCGGGTCGCCGCCTTCCTCGCGCGCTGCTCGTGCTCCTCGTCCCTGCGCGCCTGCGCATAACAACAGGGGAAGTAGCATTAAGTGGGGCGTGTCCCCCGTACAGGGGGGTTTTCGACGAACAGTAAAACAGACTCAAAAAACACTCAAAACATGGGCAAATATACTCAAAATATAGTCCCCAGTCGGAGCAAGAAGAGGGGACGGCCGTGGCGATGACAACGAGCACGAACGCGAGGAGGCGGAGAGGCACGTACACGAGGAGGCACGAACAACGAACCCGAGGAGGCACGAACACGAGGAGGCACGAACACGAGGAGGCACGAGCACGAGGAGGCACGAATAACGAACACGGGCACGAGGAGAGGCGCGCGGAGGTCCGCCGATCCCGGCCTGCGGTTTTTTTTTCAACGAGGCTGCGCTCGGGCCTCCGTTCGGCGGAGGCCACTGACTGCCTGCCAGAGCACCCCAACCGAACTTTAGGTCGGGCATGTCCCCCTACAGGGAGATTTTGGACGAAAAATGAAGAATAGTCCAACAACATGCAAACAGTACCCCACAATACGCACAAAATTGTCCCCCTACTTTTTTTCTATGTTTGAATATTCCCCCTGTAGAGGGACAAGCCCGACTTAAACCTAACCGGAAGACCCCGATTTCGGGTTGGGGAGGGGGTACGGGTGTCACATGTGTTTTTGTTGCACTGTTCCCCGACGCCACCCCCACCACTGGAAATGGAGGGCAAACCGGGGCCTTGGGGTTGGGTGGGGGTGGTTTGAGGGGATCATCGGGGGACCTCTGCCGGGGTGGGGGGGAGAGGGCACTGAATCCCAACCGTCCAAAGAGCGGCCGAAAGGGGCACAGGAGGCCACCAAGACAGTCCAACGGGCGCACGAGCTGGTCCAAGAGCGCTCCAGGATGCCCAAGATGGCCTCGAGACAGCCCAAGAGGCTTTCAAGATGCTCCAAGAGGGCTCCTAGAGGACCCCCCAGACGACCCGAAAAGGCTAAATCGACCGAAATCGCCTGTTCGGTCTCAAGAGCGCCCAAGATTGTCCAAGAGGCCCCCAAGACCACCACTATACGGCCCAAGATGCCCCCAAGAGAGGCCCAAGAGGGGTCAAAGATGGCAAAGCTGGCCCCAAAGACGGCCCCAGAGCTCCCACGACGGCCCCAAGAGGGGCTCAATAGAGGAACTCGAACTACCTCTTCGAACCCTTCACCCCAAGATGGCCCCAAAAGCCCCCAAGAGACTCCCGAGTAAAGAGGCCTCCAAGAGGCCCCAAAGAATACCCCAAGAGACCTTCAAGAGGCCCTCAAGAGGCCTCCAAAAAGCACCGACAAGGCCACCGGGAGGCCCCGGCAGGCGCTGCCTCGCGCGCTGCCAGCCCAGAGGTTCATGGTCTGACTCGGTGGCACTGAACTAAGACCCAGCGAAGACCTCTGAACAAGTAAAACCTCAAATCTCTCCACTCCTCGCTACGCGGTGGCCGCCCTCAAACACGAGGAGCGTCCCGGATCGGCGGCACAGGCCTGAGATTACATGATGGTGCGTGCCTTCCAGCAGACATACTGGTTATGCACCGCCAGCTGTGCAGATGCGGCCCAGAGGGCAAGCGGCAAAAAGACCACACCAAGGTAGACCGAAAAACAGCCTCAGAGATGCAACACAACATGCAATTCAAGAAACAATCACATTAGCGCAACGAACAGGCAGCCAGAGGAAAAGAAAACATGACGAACTACAAAAATGACCAAACGTGGCTCCCGCCAAACATGCTGGAAACAACAAGAGGGAGGAGGGGGACGGGGAGGAGGAGGGGGAGGGAGGAATGGCGGGGCGGAGGGCAGGCCTGCGCTGGCTGCCGCAACCGCGCGTGGGGTGGAGTGGCGTGCGAGATGCACCATTCAAGACTCAGGTCGAGCAACAATTTAAAAGCAAAAATCAAGAATAGTCAACAAATACTCAAAAATCGTCCCCGGTCTTGACTGTTTTCGAATATTCCTCCTGTAGAGGGACGTGCCCAACTTAATTCAAGACGGATCGCCGCTGCCCCCGCAGCGGCAGCCCCTGCCCCAGCAGGCGGTCCCGGGGGGCCTTGTAGTTGAAGTTGCAAACTCCGGTGTACCCCTGGCGAAAGGCGAGGGGGGGAGGTTGGGGGGAGAAGGAGGAAAAGAAGGAGGAGGAGGAGGAGGGGGAGGCTGGGGGGAGGTGGGGGGGGAAAATTAGCCGACCCCCA